TCCAGAGTTGTGATTATGTATCAATGAGTATGACTCTTATAGCAAATATGCATGCAAAATGTAATGAAATTATTTTTACCTAAAGTTAAAATTTTTGGGGATGATAGCAAAGCTAAATTGTATTTTTTATATAAGCTCTCCATATTTATCGGTAGATTATATGCTAATTACTTGTAAGTCATTGGGAAATCTGGATGTTCTTTCCCATAAAAACCATGTTAGAAATAGTAATCAAGTTGTGGGAACAGAAGGCAAAAATCTACATATTCTAGAATGTACATAAAGCGTCATACTCAGTATTAATTCAGCTATGTGCAACCACCACTTACAACAAACATGTTATAGGAAATGCATCCTGAATTATAAGTAAAAATGTTGGCTGATGATCTCTCTAGGGGCATCATGGTCAAATAAGAAGAAAGGAACGGACAGTGGGCTGCAATCAGGTAGATGCCCCTTGTCAATTTTTTATATCACTCAAGAAAAGCATCTGCTTGAGTAGTCTGTTTTCCTGACTTCTGACTTATGGAATAATAGATACATATCCTTAGAGAAGCATTCCCTGACTTGGATGCTGCCCATTTCTATGCTGCTTAGGTGGTTTGCACATTAGAAACTATCAACAAAATGAAAATAAAGCCAATCCTTTTTTTTTTAAATAAAGCCAATCCTTAAGATAAAGTGGAATATATATGATTTTAAAAAGAAAATGTTTATTATTCAAATAAAACAAGTAACATAATTGTTCAGATTTATTGTGTCTTTAAAAGAACTATCACAGATGTTAATAGAAGAAATTGGGTGTGGGGTATATGGGAGCTTTCTGTACTATCTTTATAAGGTTTCTGTAAATCTAAAACTATTTTAAAATAAAATATTTATTAAAAATAAAAGAACTATCACAGACATTTCCAAATACTATATACATTGACTTTAGGGATAATCTAGAGAAAACTGAACTGACATCTAACATGTCTAGTTATATTTTGTAACACAACAGTTGTAGCCATGGGAATACTGACTGGCAAGAGGGACTGTAGGGAGGCATTGGAGAAACCAAATGATTTACAGGATTCTGGGAGGTGCCTGAAGCAGTTATTATGTTCAGAACTGAGAAATTACTTCCGAACTCAGCAATACCTTTTCTTTCTTTCTACAACAATATGTTCAAGTAATAATAGGAGATGTATATTAAGGTAAAGGTGTAATTTATATAAAAAGTTAAGAAAAAAATCAGTCACTCAGATGCGTGTGAATATAAAGGCAGAATGAGGCAGTTTGGGATTAAGGTGAATGCTTGTTAAAAGTAAAGATATGATTTTGACTTTAAAAAAATAAAGCATTCAGAAATATTGTTTGGCAGTTCTTAAAAATATATTCCTATCTTAATGGTTTTAATAAAGAAGTGCTATTTTTTTCTTCTACTTAATAAGGATAATAACATGAAGAATGGAATGTATATGTCAGTCTGTTTCCAAAAACAAGTTTGTCATAGTTTTTGAATTAGTGCTATTTTCCTGATTTTTGTGCCTAATAAAGGGTTTAAATATAGTAATATTTTTAATATGTTATCATGAATACACAGAGAATTTTCATCAGTTTGGTTCCCATGATTATTTACATGCTGAAATTCCAACCCTGATGCTAGATGTAAGATATTTTAAAATTTTGAAGAAGTTAGTTGAGATCATGTAGCAAACTTAAATTTTGAGGACAAATCAAATTATGTTTGTTTTCATGACCAGAATTAGGGTTAGGTATTAAGCATTCAAAAAATAAAATTTGATAATATTCAGCAGTTATGATCTTTAGTTTCATGATTTCCATTGTAAAATGATGTTTTAGTGAAGGGGCAAAATTTTGAAAAGTAAATCATTTGTCTTATTTTGCAAGTTGTTAAACTGTATTACCTTGGAATCATATTTAATTATACTAAGCCAATCACCTGTGTTTTGTGTTTATCACACATCTATTTTTTTTTCTATAGAGATAGGAAAAAAAACTTATAAAGGATGGATGGGTAGATGGGTGGGTGGAAGGGTAGATAAAGAATTCTCTCTCCATCTCTATTTCTTTCTCTCTCTCCTTTGAAATCTTTTCCCAGTGTGGCCCAAAAGCTTTATTTTTGTTTCCCTCATTTTTTGTTTCATTCAAGAAATTTAAGTGATTGTGTAATTCTGTCAGTAAATGAAGATAGTATACAACTTTGAGTGAAGGTTTATAGCTACAGCTTTTCAATTAGAATTTCTCAGATCGTATGGCCTATGAATTTTAATATCTTAGTATCATTACTAGTGAGAAATAATCACCTCAAAGGACTTTAATGCCACCCAGAGTTTATGTTTTTCCAGGTTGCTTGGGTAAATCGTTTTCATCTTATAACTGAATATTATTTTAAGAGAGGTGAGCTCAAACATTTGGCAGTCAATATTGAATGATGATTATTTGTGTATCCCAGGAGACCTGACCTTAAAATATCATCAAGCTAAGTAGTGGTGAAATTGAACTCTACTATCTAATAGAAGTCTTTATGTTTCTGGCATTCCTTATCAAATGTAAAGAATTTTCCTTTGTGCTAGTTAACAATGTACATGTTTATAAGGTGGTCTGTAGCAGAATTATTTATGTCCAATTTTAGTGTTTGATTTAAACTTCTTAGTATATAAATGCAAATATCCAATACTTAAAGCTCCCATAAATATCCACCCAACAGCATTTAAATTCTAACAATAATTCCTAAGAGCTTCTTAAACAAACAGCAACAACAAAAAGCTAGCCATTCTTAGACATTATATGCAATACACCATTTCCGTATCTTAAAAAATTCATGTTATATGGTAAACAGGGAAAGTAGTGGTTTAAGAACGCAGTGGATTTACTTTAAAGAAAATAACATTTATTAAGCTCAGAATTTGGATTTTTGAGAATCCATGCATTTCAAATTCTTTCCAGACGTCTGAAGGTTATATTCTTAAAAGGAGTCAGTGCATGCTCTTTTATGCACCCTGCATGGAAGCCCATGACATGAGGGAGGTGATGTCATAAATATCTAATTATAGAGACTTGCTTTGGAATGCTCTCTTAAAAACATTTTTTTTTCCCCCACAGAAAGGGATTTCTCTTCACAACTTAGAGATTGGATGGTTTAAAATGAAATCACTGTATTTTGTTTTAGTGTTTTAAGCTGTCTTCCTGATCATCAAAGCCATTGTCATAGAAAAAAAGGCTAGTTATAGAATATTCCATTTTTATGGGGTAAGAACATGGTAATTGATACCACTTTCTACTGAAATTATATAGTATCATCTGATCTTTGGGTGGCATTCATTCACAATATTTTAAAAAGTATTCTCACCGGGCAGCATAATAAAGTGTGTGTTTTATTTCCCATTTATTTTATTTAATTTGTTTTTTAAGGAAAATCATTTTAATGAAAGTTCTCTTACCTTCAAAAAATTGAATTTATTTAGGAAAAAATATTTTAAACACTGTTCCTAGTGATCTTAGCATTTTCTTTTTTATTGATTCTTTAATGTTCTGTTTTTACATATTTGGAGACTGGAGACTTGGTTTAGAACTAAAATTTCATTTGGAGATTTTTGTTGTGTTTGGAATTTGTTATGGAATTTGACTTCAAGAAGATATAAGTTTATTAGACATTATCTTCTATGGGATATGCTAGCCACATCTCTTTCTCCAGCTATATATATATATGTGTGTGTGTGTATGTATATATATATACATATATATATATTAAAATTAGAATAAAGAGGCCATAACAGCTGAAGAAATAGAAAAAGGAATAGAAGTGGTGTAAGTAGGGGGAAAAAAGAGAAGTGATAGGAGCAGGTATGAGAAATATATAAACTAGGGTATTCTGACACATGCTAATAATAATAAAATATAATGTAAATTAAAAAAATCAATCTGTGAAATTTTTATTAGGACTTTAACTACCAAAAAATAGAGTGGAGAGTGGCTGAGGGAGCTGGTTCTTTCTCCAAGTAGGCACTTAGCCTACTCCACTTAACTTTGTAGTCAGCCTCATAGCCATCTCATGGTATGAAGTGTTAACATTGTGCTTTTAATGCAACTTAAGTTTTTTGTGCACAAACTAAAGAACAAACAAACTAAAGAGCCTAGACACTGGAGTCAAGAAATTCAGAATAGTCACACGGGTGAGACTGTATGTCCTGGTCTTCCGCAGAAATTACTGCTTACTCTTAATTCTTTTTGTTTCTTTCTACTTCAACCTATAATGCCATACAAACCTCAGCATAAAGACACCCTTGAGAATCACTTCTCTGTCACTTATTATGTTTCCTTTAAAAAGCTCATGAATTACACATGATTTTCTAAGTTGCCAACTTAGATTTCAGGAGACTTCAAAAAATATTAATCTGGTACCTTTCCATTATGAAGGCTGTACACACTGTTCACAAGCTCGGTCTTGTCTTTAAGGGACATGTGCCTCATCCAACAACTTTCTTCCCTAAATCATCAAAATCTTGTCTAAAGGCTTTTTCTCAAAAGTTAGGAAGCACTGCGATTTCTATTTGGTCATGTCACATGGTGATCTATTTATCAACTATAGCTTTATCAAAGCATAAACTATTTTTGGATTTTATAGTTAATTGTGTGTGATAGAATAATGGGGATGCAATGTATATTATGCTTTTGTTCTTATGATGATTTTTTTAAACTTATTTTTCCTGTAGTAACTTCTGATGCTCCTTTGTTAGCTCTTCCTTTCTCTTTTTTCTTCAGCTATCTTCCTTTTGTTCCTTAACTCAGATGTCCCCTGCTATGTCTCTGCAGAGATTCCACATTAGTATTTTGATGTTTTTTTCGGTAGTTTTCAAAGGTCACCATACAGAACCCTATCAATATTTCTCAATATGCGCTGTAATTGTTCATCTGTGTCTTTTTCTTATTTCTGTGCTCCTTGATGACTCAAACTATATATCCATCCACTCAACAAAAGTTTATAAAATTTTTACCTTGAGGCAGGAACTATTCTGGATGCTAGCGATAAAATAGTTAAGAAAATTGACAAACAGTCCTGCCATCATGGAGCTTGCATTCTAATTGGGGGAGACCGATGACAGACAATGAGCAACATATATATGTAAAGAATGGCAGGGTTGATGGTGAAAAATAATGCTGTGATGGGGAACAGAGAATTCTAAGATGACAGATTTTAATTGGATACTCTGGAATGACCTCACAGAGAAGATGGCAATTGAAAGCCCAATGTAGTTAGGGCCTAAGCCACACAGAGACTTGGGGCAAGACCGTTCCTTGCAAGGGTACAGTTAGTGGGTAAATCTTGAGCAAGATCATGCCTAGTGTTTGTAGGAACAGCCAAGAAACTAATGTGGCTGGAGCAAAGCACATGTGGCGGTGGGGGGCGGTGGTAGAAGATCTGAGAGATAACAGAACAGAAAGGAAGGGATGGAGGCTATGTAGAGTCTTACTTGCTATTTTAATGACTTTGGCTTTTGTTTAGAGTGAACTGGGAAGCTATTGAAGGATTTTGAGATTTCTTTTTGGTAATTCATTTTGAGTTTTCAGATTATACAGTGGTCACTACTTAGGACTCAATAATTTTGCTTTATTACTCTTGCAGTTAACTACAAACTAGTGTATTAAAGTAATGCTAAGTTCTAATTTAAATTGATTGAACAAGCTTTTATCTCTTTCTCTTTTCCATTACTGAGTATCTTATTTTTAATTAATTTAAAAGCTTTCTACAATAGTGAGCCAATGAAAATTTAGCATAACGTATAACTTATTCTTCATTAGATTTAGGTACTTAAATGAAGATGCTAATTAGAAAAGGCATTTGTTGGAAAATGTTGCTAAAACTGCTTTTGAATTATTATCACATAAATTGATACCATTAAATTGTGTTTCTAGAACCTAAATGTAGACAGTGGTAATAAGTTAATAGCTCTAAGTAGATGTCTTTCATCTCTTTGGTCAAGGATGCTTGAAAGTAGAAAAACTTACTGGCTTCAAATCTGGGGACAAGGAATAACCCGAAGTGCTTTTGTTTGTTTGTTTCTTGGTGGAATTTTCTTCCTGGTAAGGATGTATCTTTTTATACTAAACAACATTGACTGTATTCTGTCTTAAGTCTTTTTTGCCAAAATAGTGTGTGTGGAAATTAAGCTCTCACAATATAATGGAGAAATTCTGAGGACACAGAATGATATAAACTTTAAAGATGAGTAGAAAGCCAGAAGAGATAAGGAGGGAGAAAAATACAGAGAGGGAGAAGATAAATAGTGTAACAAAAATTAGTCAAACAGATTAGCATATGCATAGTAGGTCAACAAGGTAATCAGAATAGAGTACCTACTATATGCCAGACACTGGGGATATAGCAATGAAAGCAGAGACCCAACTGGTTATAATGTAGTAGAAAGGGATAGAGAAGGAAGGCACCCAAGTACATAACCAAATCAATGCTATGAAGGGGTATGAAGTGTACTACTATGAAGAAGATTAAATGTGATAGTATAGTTGAGTGTAACAGGCATGTGGAGAGGCAGTGATCCAACTATGGGGAAGTCAGAGAATTTTCTTTGAGGAATTGATGTTTCAGTTGAGATTGGAATGAAAATACAAAATCAGGTCCTTCGAAGATCCCAGGGGTCCCAATCAGAAGGAATAGCAAATATAAAGGTTCTGAAATAGAAATCAGCTTGATATTTTTGGGGAGTGCAGGCCAGTTTGGTGGAATAAAGGAAAGGCATGGGAGAGACATGAGATCAGAGGCTATAAGGAATCAGCTTAGTTAAGATTTTGCAGTCAATGTTTAGATAGAAAACAAATCAATTGAAAGATTTAAGATATAGATGTGATATGATTAGATTTACCCTTACACAGTTCCTTCCACCTGCAGTGTGAAGGGTATACTACTAGTGAGGGATACAGTGGTGGGGGAAGAGGGATTATTCAGTTGACTATTTCACTTGTTCAGATGAAGAATGATGATGGTTGGGACTGTGACTGTAGCAATAAAGTTGCTAAAGTTGTAGCAATGAAATTGTAAAATTGGTTGAAATTAGAAGTTGTTTGGAAGATAGACCTGATGGGATTTACTGATCAAGAATCACATCAAGTGTTTAGTTTTAGGGATATGGCTATAGACTTTTATTGAGGTGGGGAAGGTGTGATGACATGGGACAGATTCTAAGTGCCAGAGGTGTGTAGTTAGATACATGTGTGTTATTGACTTTATTTTTTCCCCCTACATTAAATTGAGATGCCTATTAGAATTCAAGTGGATGTATCAAGTAGGCAACAAGAAGATGACATGGCTAGAGATGTGAGTATGAAAATCATAGGCCTGTAGATCATGTTTCAAGTCATGTATCTAGATCAGACATTGATAAACTACAGCCCATGCACCAAATCTGTTCTGCTGCCTGATTTTGCATGAGTTATATTTTTTCACATTTTTAAGTATAAAGTATAAAATATACAAAAGACTATCTTATGACAAGGACAGTTGCCCAAATTTTCCTCTTGGCCCACAAAGCCTACATTGTTTACTCTCTGGATCTTTACAAAACATTTCACTGATCCTTGGTCTAGATGGAACTGTTGGAAGAGAGTATTGATACGCAAGAGGGCATAATTGTGGAAATTAAAATTGTGCCAACTGCAGTGCACAGAGTGAAAAATTTAAGTCTGGGCATAATAGATGGTAAGACTTCAAAACAACAATTTCATTATCAGCATGATCAGTGCAACTTCTGCGGCAAAAAGAAAATACTGTCATCAGACAATTCATTCGATCACATAGGAGGTGTTCTGTGTTTGAAGAACGGAGAGAAGTCTAATACAGTTTGATCAAAGAAAGCAAATGGGAGGATGACATTAGATCTGTCTGGAGATTTAGGGCAGGGCCAAATACTTCAGTCTGTTTAAAGTGGTCTTTAGAGAAAGAGGAAGACATTAAAGCATTCTGAAGCAAATCATAGATATGGAAAGAGATCACTCTGGCTTTATGTGCAGCCAGAATGAAAGAAAGCCAATATGGGTGAGGAATTAACATTGTCATTGGTATTAGTGAAGTGAAGACCCCAGGTGACCTTGGCAAAGGGAAATTTGTACAAAATCCATAATGGGCTTAAACAGTGAACGGGATCAAGACCCAGGTGTATGTTTAGTGAAATTTATTAATCCTCTCACTGTGTAAAATATAGGTGGTCAAAATAAGGAACTTCGGTGTTTTTTGTTTTGTGTTTTCTAATTCAATTTGTGAATTCAACTCCGGAAGATTTTGGTTTAATAAGTATAGAGAAAGGTCAGAAGTTTTCTTTTTTTTAAAACTCTCCTAATGAGTAGAAGCTAATGATGACTTTAAGGATACTGAATACTTTTCTGACACTTTGTTTTTTACACCTTCATTATTTATGCCCATCCAGGAGGTTTTGCCCTAGCCCCATGCAAATCCATAATTCAGTGCAGCTAAAACGTGTCCTTCCATCTGCAGTTTCCATGGTTCTTCACATGGAGGATGGCTTTCCCTGCTTGGAGCATCCCTGTAGCACCCACATTGTATGATAATTACTTCACTGATCTCTCACCCTCCTAGTGTGTGGCCTCTCCATGAGGCCTGAAATTTCATACTGTTCTTCTGAGATGTAACAATATTTATACTCAAATAATTAAACAAGTTCTTCTATTTTGAAAATAACATGTCTTCTAATTTGAATCTCCCTTTTTTCACTCTACTGCTTAGCTACTAACTTATTTTATGAAAATAAATTTTAACTGTCTACAATCACTTTCAGATCTAACTCTTACCAGTGGAAGATTAATGTGTGGTCAACATCTATAAGGATATTTCTTTCCATATAGTAGTTATAGCCTTTATTATTGTTTTTAAAATGACTAATGTTTAGTTTGGAATAATTCACCATGAGGATTGGGATGAGGGATAATTTACATAGTGATAATCTTTTTGAATTTTTATATTTAAAATACCATTTATCAAAAGAAAAAGCCAAGTGTTATATTTTTGCTTCCACTTGACTTACTGAATTGATTTCAAGTTATATATTTCAGTATGAGCACGCTCACTTATTTTGGCTGAAATAATACTACTATCTTGGGATCCTTTTTTTCCTTAATGCCTATGTGCCACTCTCCATTTCTGTTCATTCCTTAATTCTCTTTATTTGGTACGTTTGTACTTTGGGGATTCTTCTGTTTGGGGTTTTGTTGGTTTATAATAATTGCTGCTTTTCTTGGAAATAAGTAGATGTTCTTTTCCATTTTGTTTGTGAATTTGTCTTAGAAGCATTTTGTATGTACCTTTTGCCCATAGTTCCTCAGAGGACCCCTTTGAGGATACTGATTTAATATGTCAGCTGATATAAAGCTTCAAAGACATGACTCCTGCTGACTTTTGCTTTGACATAGATTGAAATGTTCACTCAACAATGACTGATGGAAAGTTTTTCTTTTCTTCCCTTAAATATTACATAACCTTAAGAACAAACAAATGGAAGGGAAGATTGAGTTTTTGGTATCCTTGGTAGAAGTGGTCCCTTTCTCAACGAAACAGGTTTTGTTATCTAACTCTGTGTGTCAGTGGTGAACACACAGGGTGCTATGCGAGCACATGCTCACAGGACTGGAAGACTGATGCTGTGACAAACCACTGGAAAAAATGAATTCTGTTTTTTTCTTCACATTCCAGAGCTAACTATTCTGAAAGCTCTTTCAATTCATTATAAATTATAGTTGTTGTTGTTATAGTTGTTATTAGAGTTGAACTTTCATTTATTTGTGATCTGAACTTTCTGTACAGTGTGTTCTTTTTTTTTTTTTTAAAGATTTTATTTATTTATTTGACAGAGAAAGAGATAGCAACAGCAGTAACACAAGCAGGGGAAGTGGGAGAGGAAAAAGTAGGCTTCCCGTGGAGCAGGGAACCCGATGTGGGGCTCGATCCCGGGACCCTGGGATCATGACCTGAGCTGATGGCAGACACTTAATGACTGAGCCACCCAGGTGTCCCTGTACAGTGTATTCTTATGTTTAATCATTTTCACATGCTAAATCACTT